ATATCTATAAATTTAATAAAAATTAATAATTATTTATAATAATATAATTTTTTAAATTTATAAATTATTAAAAATAAATACTTTTCTGGAAGATATTTATCTAAAAGAGGAATTGAATACAAAATTATCCAATTACACCACTCCTCAGCTTTAAAAGATAAGTAATATTTTTGAATATTATTAAGAGGTCTACCAAAATCTGTTGGCATTGTTTTCTTATTATATTCAATTATTTTTTCAATTTCATTCTAATTATTTTTTGAAATTTTGTATTCTGTATTATTTAAAATTTCATTTCTAAAAAATTTTCCTGTAAAATAATAAAACATATGAGGAGCAATATTTTCAAAAAGTGCATACATAATATCTACTGGAAATGATAAAGGAAAATTAATTGAAGATAATTCAAATAAAATACTATATCTATTTATGCCTTTTTTGCATTCTTTACTATCTAGAATATAACTATTATAAGAATGCATTAGTAAATTTTCTGGTTCATAATTATTATATTCTTGTAATGATTGAAGTGGATAATATATATATCTAGCAGTTTTAGAATAAGATCCTTTTATATAACAATAGCAGCAACCATATTTAGCATTATGACCTGAAAGATACATAACTTTAGATAAAGCAGGAATATCCCCAGACCATGAAAAAATGTAGCAATGCAATTTAAATGTTTCTTTTAATATTGCATCATAACAAGTTATACCATGTTCAAGCTGCTTTAATTCATCAACTAATGGTCATAAAAAACTATTAAAATCTTTTGGAGATTTTGGACCAGGTATAACTATATTAATTATTAAATTTTCTTTTTTAACATTTTTGATGGTAGAAGATTTGCATTTAAAAGTAAAATTATTCAACAGTCATTTCATTTTTGTTTAAAAACTTGATAGCCATTTGTAGATGCAATTAAAGCAACATCTCTATAATTTAAAAATAAGCCTGATACTACTAAAGTTTTATTTCTATTGCTATCAAAAACATCCCCAATTTTGCTATTCTCAGAAGTATATTATTTTATTGATGTATATTCATACCGATATCTAAGATCTTTTGCTTGTGATAGATTTTTATATTGTAATTTTAAGCTATCAGCTATTGAAAAATATGCTAATTGTTTTCTAGATTTTTTTGATTTTTTTTTAGTTGCATATTATGACTCTTTACATATAGGACATGCATTAAGATTAGTATTTTTCCCAGTAAATGCACAGCAAGAATTCCAACAAATATCTATAAGTTTCGGTTCTAGTGAAACCAAATTTCTTAAAACTTTTCGAAGTCGATAAAGAGAAACATTAGAAATATTAAATATTTCTAATATTTCATTAAATGCTTGATTAGAAATTGTATATTTATCTTTGATATAAAGAAGCTAAAGCCCTTTAATTATTTCACTTGGTAAATCTAAAATATAAAAATATTAATATAAAAATTTTTAAAAAAAATTTTTTATATAAAATATTAAAAATAATTACTATAAAATTCAGTATTATCAAAATTTTCTTCTGATTCAAAGCCTATTTTCTGATTTTACCTCTTCTAATTTATCCTCTTCCTCCAATTCATTCTTTTCCAATTCATCCTCCAATTCATTCTCTTTCAATTCATCCTTCTCCAATTTATTCTCCTCCAATTTATTCTTCAATTTATTCTCTTCCAATTCATCCTCTTCCAATTCATCCTCCAATTCATTTTCTTCCAATTTATCCTCCTCCAATTCATCCTCCTTCAATTCATCCTCCAATTCATCCTCCAATTCATTTTCTTCCAATTCATCCTCTTCCAATTCATTCTCTTCCAATTCATCATCCTTCAATTTATCCTTCTCCAATTCATCCTTTAATTCATCCTCCAATTCATTTTCTTCCAATTCATCCTTCAATTTATTTTCTTCAATTTATTCTCCAATTCATTCTCTTCTAATTCATCCTTTTCCAATTCATCCTCTTCTAATTTATCTTTCTCCAATTCCTTACTTTCTAACTCTAAAATATAAAAAATTAATTCAATTTAAAAAAATTAATTCAAAATAATAAAAAAATTTTTTAATCTTACTTTGTTCAATATTTTTCTCAATATCCTCCATACTTTCAATATTTATTTGATTATTCAAAATATTATTAGATGTACTATTTGAAATTGGAAAAGAATTTTGAAGATTTTTTTCTTTCTTTCTATGCCTTGTTTGAGTAGATATATTATTTGAACTTGGATAAGAATTTTGAAGATTTTTTTCTCACTTCTTATGCCTTGTTCAAGTAGAGTTACTTAACATTTTACCACAACTATTAGTTTCTTGGATACAAAAAATACAAGTGTATAAAACTTTATTATATATAGCTAATTAATAAATTAAAGATAAGTATTTGAAATATCAAAATTTTTTAAGTTAATTAATTTTACTACCAATTATTAAAAAACTAACCTTTTTTTACTAATATTTTTTTTTTGCAAAAAACAAACTCGTATTTTGCCAAACTAATAGAAAAGCAACTACAAAATCAAGTTGCAAAAAAATTAAAAGAATCAATAGAATTATATAAGAATAATCTGTAATAAAATCTATTATTAGACTTTCAATTATATTTTGTATAGTTAGCTGTCTATTAAAAATCTATCATTATGATAGATTTTCGATAGATGGCTAACTATATACAAAATATATTTGAAAGTTTTATAAAAACTTTTCTTTGATAATGCTAATATTAGACTTACTATAATTGCTATTTAAATTTATATAATCATCTACTATTTAATATAATCAATATTTCAATTTTCAAAAACAATATATTACAATAAAAGAAATCTAGCAAAACAAGTACAAAAATTAATACAAAATTTTTAATATCCTTTAATATTTTTAATAAAAGCAGCACATTCATCTTTTCTGATATTCTCTAACCATGTAATACTAACATCATCAATTATATCTAAAAGTACTCAATTATTATTGAGTGCTTCAAGTAATTGATGCAAACGAGGCCCTGCAGTAATAAAAGTTGTAAGTTTTCTTGATGAAATATTTCCTACAAAGCCAGGAATATTTATGTTTAGCTCCAAATAACTTTCTAAGTCTTGATTCTTTTTCTTTTTCTTACTTTAAAAAATCACTATCAATAACATGTTTAATATTAAATAAATTGTTTGATTGATTAATATTAAACATGTCATATAGTAATTCTTTCCCAGTAAGTAAAGCCCTTACTTGAGTTGCGCACTTGGTTCCTTTTTCGCATATTGTGTATTTGTTTATCTATTCTATTAAATAATTGTATGCTATTTCAAATTTATACAAGAATTGAAGTGACATTCTGTGAGAAACTTCAATATTGTAAGTTGTAATATTACAATCAAAAATAGACTAATAATATGTGCTCATTAAAGTTGAAAAAATTTGTACTTTTTTATTTAATGTGTCATATTTAGATAAATTACTAACCCTCAGATCCTGAGAAACTTCTGGCGCACACCTTAATAGCATGATTTGGTCTTGCAAATTTAAATTGTCATTTGAATTTGATAATACGAGATTTTTATATTCCAAAGCTAATTCATCATCAATCTGAGCAGGATCAAATTGAACTATTGAAGATTTACGAAGTATAGTAAGTTCCTTTAGATATTTAAAAAGATTTTTATAATAGTTATCTTTTTTAATAAATGAATTTTTATCATAAAAAGATGCTATTACAGTTAATTCGCTTTCAAATGCCAATAACTTGTAATATTGGTTTGAATCTTTTAATTTATTTCTAGTTAATATCTCTTTTTTTTTAGTGGGTTGGAAATTAGCAAGATAGCCAAGATATGAGTAAGGATCTTAGCTAACTTGCTTTTCACCAACCCATTCGAATTTAGGAAGTTTAATGTTCTTTACTGATTTTTTAATTTCTAAAGGATTTATTAGATTAATTATAATTTCGCCTCGATTGTTTTTAAGTATTGCAATATTTTTTGTTGGATTAATTTCAATTTTGTCAAAATTAATATCTCATATAATAGATACTAAAATAATGTATTGAGTTATAATATTCGGGATATTTCTTAAAGGAAAGAGGGCTATTTAACTCTTTTAGATATAATGTCTAAAATTAAAATTAAAGTAAGTATTTTTTTTTTTTTTAATATTAAGGTGACCACTTAGGCCCTGGCACTTTATTAGTTCAAACGGGTGGGCCGTCCAAAGACTGGCTTACATATTATATCAGTATAACGAGAGTACAACTAGTCACACATACAACTTTTGGTTGCCTATTTAAG